CCCACCCACCCACCCACCGCGATCCCTCCCCCCGCAGCCAGCCAGACAGCGTGGAGCGGCTGCTGGTGCGCCTGCTGCCCCGCCCCTCAGAGCGCACCGTGTTCACTGGGGACGTCGTCGCCTTTGCCTCGCCCTTGACGCTGGCGGCGGCGGCGGCGCCCGGCGGCGGCGGCCTGGCCGGCGCGCTGGGCCTGCCCCCGGGCGGCGCGGCGGCTGCGGCGGCGGCGGAGGACGCGGCGGAGCGGCTGGCAAACACGATGGTGCGGCGGGTGGCGGCGATGCCGGGGGACGAGCTGGTGACTGGGGAGGATGAGGAGGCGGCGGGGTTTGAGAGCCTGGTTGTGCCAGAGGTGAGCCAGGCCCCTTCTTCTCCCACAAACAGGCAGACACTACAAACAGACAGGCAGAAAACAAGGAAAAGGCTGGGGGCGCTTCGTGGCCTGGAGCTGGACGCCTGGGGGCATGCAGCCTGCGCTGGGGGCGTTGCTGGGGGCCTTTAGGCTGCTTCCGCCTGCCCAGCGGCCTGCCCGCTGCGTGCGGCAGCATGCAGAGGCGCGGCCACAGGGCAATCCCTGCGGCGACTCGCTGGGGGTGCCCGCCCCGCCGTTTGAAGCTGCCCCACCCTTTGCGCTGCCACTGCTTTGCGCTGCCACTGCCCACCTGCCACCTGCCCACCCAACACCCCTACCACCCGGCCCTGCAGGGCCACTGCTGGGTGCTTGCCGACAACGCGCAGCTGGAGCCGCCGCGCGTGATCGACAGCCGCGCCTTTGGGCTGCTGCCGCTGTCGGCCATCGTGGGGCGCGTGCTCTACTGCGCACGCTCCCACACCGACCACGGACCCGTGGAGAACAGCGAGGAGGGGATGGCGGCGGATGCGCCGGTGCTGGAGGCGGAGCTCGATGTCGAGGCGCTCTGCAGCGACTGACCGGTCAGGAGGGGCTGGGTAGCCCGCAGCTGGCTGGCTGGCTGGCTGCCGGCGCTGGCCCTGAGCAGCGGCTGGCTGCCAGCGCTGGGCAGCTTGCAGCTGGCTGGCTAACTGCCGACGCTGGCCAGCGATGCCGGAGCGGACTGACTGCCCACGCCGGGCGATGTTCTGCTGGCAGCGGCTGGAGCGCTGCGCACCGGCTGCCCGCGGCGACCCAGCGGCTGCACCGCGCCCCCTGCAGCAGGCAGCTGCCTGAGATGCACCCGCATGCGCCGCCTGTACCGCATGTACCGCCCCGCCCCTCCACCTTGTGGCACCGTCCGCGCCTCGGGCCGCGGCCGGCGCCGGCCCCCCGCCTCCGCCCAGCCCTGTGCTGTGACCTGCCTTGATGCTCTCCTGTTGCCTCCTGCAGCGTTGCTAGCAGCACCCTTGTTTACTGCGCCCACACACTTCTCCCCTCCAGCGTCCCTCTGCTCCCTCGCTACTACCACCTGCTCCTGTGCCTCGGCCTCCTCGCATTGCTGGGCCCTCCTTTGCCAGCTCGCTGTCCCCTCGCTCAACCGTTCTGCCGCCGCGGTGTGCTGTTCTGTGTTTGCTTCGCGCGCCTTGGCGCCTCTGCGCCGCCCTGCCCAGCTTGGTATGTGGCAGCGCCTTCACCTGTAAACTCATCCCGTGTCGCCTGGGTTGGCCTGCAGCGTCTTCCTGGTTAGCGGGCTTGCCCTGCGGCGGGCGGAGCCGGGCCGGTCGCGCCTCAGCGCGGGAGTGGTGGGCAGCGGCAGCAGCGGCCGGGACAGGACCGAGACGGTGAGGCACGTAGCTGTGCGTGGAGAGAACTACACCTGTTCCCAAGTTTGAGAATGAATGAGCGGCGGGCTGTGCTGCATGCACCCCAGTTCCCGACTCCACACAGCTGTGGCGGTCGGTGGTGCCGAAGATCGAGGCTGGTCCGCCGCCATGCCTGCGGCCGCATCCGTGTTGCTGAGGCCTGCCACCAGGGTCCCTAATGGTGTAATGTTACATGACGAAGCATGTGCTGCCATGCAGCGCCAGGGGCGCAGGCCGAACAGCGCTGTGGCACCACAAGCCCGGCAGAGATGGGGCATGGGTCTGATCCTTGCCGCTCTCAAGGCTGGCCCGCTCGCGCTGCGTCGGCGGCATTGGCTGGCACGGCCGGGGCGCCCACCGGCCGCAGCAGCTTGCAGCCCTTCTTGTGCCGCCGCCAGTCCTCGTGGCTGCACGCCTCGCCGCAGTAGCGCACCACCCGGCAGGCGCTGCAGCGGCGTGTCTTGAGCGCCGCCTCTGCGGGGCCGGCCAGGTTGCCGCAGCCCGGGTAGCTGCACCGCCGCAGGCCCAGAGCCGCCTCCTGCCGCCGCAACATGGCCGGCTGATCCACCGCCTGCTGCATCTCCTGCAGAGCTGCTGCGGCAGCCGTGCCGTCAAGTTGTGCCACCGCGCGGTCGAATCTGGCAGCAGCCTGGGCAAGCAACGCTTCCATATGCGTCTCCCCAGCAGCGCCGTCCAGCTCGGTGTCTGGCAGCGCTGCGCTCGGCTCCACCCGGCTGCCGCTGCCGTTGCCTACGGCATACGGCAGCTGCTCAAGCAGAGAGGCCACCTGGTCGAAGAGTTCAATCACCTGCATGTGAAATCAGGAAATGAAGCTGTGCAGGCATGAGGTCAACAGGTCCCGGCTGGGCATGGGCAAGCTGGGACAAACGGGAAGCGATGCGCAGAGGCCAAGACTGCTGCGCCTCTCTGCTGCAGGCCTTTGCCCAATGTGCGTGCCGTGCACAGGGCTCCGAACCAGCACACATGCATGCGCACACGCCAGCCGCTGCACGCCCAAGCAGCACACAGCACCAGTCGGCTCACCCCATCGGCCGTATCCAGTGAGACCTCCTCGGCAAGTACTCTGGCTTCCGTGGACAGCATGCTCAGCAGCTGCGCATCTGTGGCAATGGCTGCCGCCGCCCAGGGGCACAGCAGCAGCTGGGTGAGCAGCACGAGCAGCTCTCCGATGCTCTCGGTGCTCAGCGTGGGCAGCGTGGTGTCATTGGCCTGCACCTCGGCCTGCACACCACAGACAGCGGGGCAAAGGGGTTGTGACTTGGTTCATGTGCACGTACCTGAGCGTCGATGCGGCAACTCAACGGCTGGCAGCCGCCGCCGCCAGGCAGGGTACATGGCAGGCGCTGTGCGGAGGCTCACCAGCAAGCGGCGAGCAGCGCTGAGCAGCGGCTGCATCGCCCCCGCCCACAGCAGCAGGTCAGCCAGCTGAGGGGACTGCAGCAGCGGTGTCAGAGCGCGGAGCTGCACACAGGGCGCTGCCGAGCGGCGGTACGGGTTGTCCACACACAGCAGGGCTTCCTCCAAGGAAGGGATGGCAGCCAGGCACGACAGCGCCGCGCAGTCCGCGCCCCTGCAGTGCCGGCGCAGCCATCCACGTTGGGCCTGGTCAGACAAGTTGTTCACCCAAGACAAGCGAGCAAGCGAGGATGCGGGCGGCCCGGCGGTGGCAGGCGTGGAGAGAGCTGGCAGGCAAACAGGGGGGCTGTCCTGCGGGCTGTCCTGCATGCCGTGTGCTCGCTTGAAGACAGAGTTTTCGAGACAAAACGCAGCACCAGAAGCTGGCCAGCACAGCGCCTTGCTAACCTGGAGATGGAGGCGGCGGTGGCGGGGTCCAATCCCTCGCAGCCCAGCAGCTGGGCCCAGGCCGCGGCGGCCGCCCGCCAGCCCTGCATCGCGCCTTGCCCGATGCGGATGCGGTCCCCTGCCACCTCCAGGGCATCGCACCCTGCATACCCCTGGCCGCCTGGCTCCGGATCCAGGCGCAGCACCCGCCACTCCACCGCCGCCTTGCCAGCGCTGATGCTGGCAGCGGTGAGGTGCCGCGCCGCCTGCAGCGCGCTGCCCACGTCCTGCGCCGCCGCCACGGCCGGCGGCGGCGCGACTTCCAGGCTTTGCAGCAGGTGGGCAGCCAGCACGACTGCTCGGGGCATCACGACGCGAGTTGCACGCCGGACGTAATCGGAAAACCAGCCCTGGGCGGTACCATCCTGGCCGGCCAGCCGCTGGCAGCCGCCGGCCGCCTCGAGCGCCGCCAGCGGCGGCAGCAGGCGGACCAGCGACTCTGCTGCCGCGGCAGCCGCGGCGGCGCAGCCTGGGTCCCGCAGCTGCGCTCCCATCTCGGTCTTGCTCAGGCACAGGAGGGCAGCGCTCCAGTTGGCCAGGGCCATGATAAACAAGCGGGCGCTATCCCTCCAGGAGGCCGAGCGCAGGGATGGGCTGTGGGAGGCGGCAGCTGCCTCGGCCGCGCCTGCCGCGGCCCGCGGGCTGCCGACGCCGTCGGCTGCGGCAGCGCTGCCTTGCGCTGGGCCGGCCGCATCAGCCGGGGCTGGGGCGCTGCCAGGGAGGGACGACAGGAAGGCGGCTGCCGCGGCGACGAGGTAGTGAAGGCAGTGCAGCCCGTCGGCGAGTTGGCGGAGGGAGGTCGCATCCTGCAGCTGCTGCCAGCAGGCATCCTCCGCCCGTATCTCCCCGCATCCGGAGCTGGTGTCGACGATAAAGCACATGGCTGCCAGGTAGCAGGTCTTAAGCAGCAGCACCTCGGCCGCCGGCGGCCGGCCCCCGCCGACCCCCGGTGTGCCCCCGCTGCCGGCTGGCGCGTGGGGCGCGGGGCCGGGCGGCGGCCGGGGCGGCGCCGCCAGCAGGGTGTCTGTCAGCGTGCGCAGCGTGCGCAGCGCGGCGCGCAGCACCCTGCCGCCGCCCTCCCGCTCCAACCCGCGCAGCTCGCCGTGCAGGTGCGGCAGGAAGAGCAGGTGCGTCACCGCAGACAGCATGCCACACTGCGCGTCGCTGTCTGGCTGCAGGCCTGGGGCCAGTACCAGATAGGAGTCGGACGCCAGCGAGGCAAGGGCCGCCAGGGCAGCACCCTCCTGCTCCGGGCTGCGCAGCTCCTCCAGCACGAAGCCTGCCAGGTCGAAGAAAGATTTGGACAGGCGGTCGGCGCCTGCGGGCATCGTGGCAGCGGGCCCGGGGGCAGGCAGCTTGTGAGGCGAGGCGTGGCGGCTGCGTGGCGGGCAGCGGGCCCGCGTGGCACTGCGGCAGGCGGGGCCAGAGGCAGGGGCACAGCCCGGCGCCAACGCCTGACACACCACCGCGCCACAGCAGCCCAGCGGCGGCGCGCAGTTCTCACCTTGCTGGCGCAGCACCGTGTGCTGCAGGGCCGCCATCCTGCCCAGCCAGCCCAGCAGCACGCCATGGCTCAGCGTGCGCCGCTCCGCCACGCGCCGCACCCGCGGGTATGCCTCGCCCCACCGGCCGCCGAGGAACCGGCAGAGCGCCAGCAGGGCGCTGCTTGCGGCCTCAACAAGGGGCTCACAGAGCAGGTCCTCGGGAGGATCCCTGGGGTGATCCCCGGAGAGAAGCAGCTCCAAGCTGCTCTGAACCCTCTCCGCAGCGTCGGCAGCCGCGTCAATGGCGCAGCCCGCGGCCGCCAGCAGCCGCATGCAGTCTGCCTCGCTGCACTCGTCCCCGGGCTCAGGTTGCCCCGCGCAGGTCGCCGCCCAGAGCAGCGTGCTGCAGGCCGTCTCGCAGTGCCGGGCAATGGCGGCGGCGCTCCGGGGGTCGGACTCTGGAGCAGAGGCCAGGGCACGCCGCACGTGGGCCGGCACGGCGGCGGCCGCGCCCATCAAGCGCGCCAAACACCTGCAGCGCAGGGTCGACAGGCGGAGGGGTGGGCTGTGTGACTCTCTGGGTGCTGTGGGGCTCAACTCAAGTGACTCGAGGCTGTGGGGTATCCCCCCCGCATGTAGCTGCCCTGTCCTCCCACCTGTTGGAGACGCGCCGCTGTGCCAGGGCGGCGAGCAGCAACAGAGTGCGGCGACCGTCTTCAAAGCTCTCTGACGGGGCAGCGAAGATCCGCTCCAGCTCTGCAACCACTTGAGCGTCCGAGGCTCGAGCCACGTTTATCTGCAAGGTAGGGCAGGACGCGGCGAGAGATCAAAGGGGGTGATGGTGCCGATGGGCACAGCGGCATGCCCGCCCTCGCCTGAATGGTCATTGCCATCCTGGATGCGCCTAACGCCCCGCCCGATGGATAAGCCAACACAGCAAGGAGGACGAAGGCCCCTCTGGTGCAAGGTGCGCGCTGGCTGCACTCTCCTGCGAAGGGGAACACTGATTCTACGAGAAGGACCGTCAAAATTGAAAACATGACGATGTGCTAGGCATGCTGAGGAGGCCATCAGCCCGCCGCCTGGTAGGGCTCAAAAAAGGGCTGCATTCATGCTGCTTCCTGTAAGCTCCATGTTTTCCATTCGAAACGACAAACATGTACTGCATGTACCATGGCAACGAGGGCTGTTGCCGTGGGCAGCGGCACCGCAGCACACTTGGCGAGGCGAGCCTGCGCCGCGCCCCCAGTGCCCCCGCACCGACGCTCGTAACTCTTCGCCAGCTGCAGCCAACATGACCGCATGTGCTTCAAGAACATTGCATAAGTTGCATGCATGCAACATTCGCCTAAGCTCAGCCCATCCATATCATGTGAGGCGGTGACTGGTGCTCTTTGTGCCCGCTCAGGGCGGCAACAATGGGTTGCAAGGCTGCGCTCTCTTACCGCCTCTCAGACTGCAATTGTGCATTGTGCACCTGCTCGCATAGCTACTGCCGCAGCGAAAGGCTACTTTGGGCAACAGCAGACTAACGCTGAGCTGGCCTCCGACAACTGTCCTTGAACCTTTCGACCTTTCTGCAGCCGTCCCGCACGCTCTGGTGCACACACAGCCCGTGTTCGGCGCTAGGCGTCCCGGGAAGCATGGCGAGGCCCGCGGTCCCAGGACACCGGGCGAAGCTGCTGGTGTGCGTGGCCTGCACGGTGCTGGTGTGGGCGAGCAGCGGCCTGGTGAGGCGGGCCGCCCTGCTGCGGGCCGCGCAACATGCGGGTTCACATGAGCTTCAGGGCGGAGCGCCGCGGCGGTGCCAGCTACCGCCAGCGAAGTGGGCACAGTCTGTTCCACTGTTGTGGGAGTTCTTTCCGGCTGGTCTGCCCACAATTAGCTTTACACATATGGACCCTGCCGCAGGCTGTACAGGCTGCCGTGCCCCAGCCGCCAATGCCACAAGAGCGGACGAGTGCGGCGGCAGCAAAATCGCCGCCGCCACGGCCGCGTCCTCCGCGTCCTCCGCGCCCCAGGCCACCCCGGTGTGCATGCTGCCTACTAGTCACGAACATTCTTTTCCCTGCTGCCAGATGGGGCGATGCTGCTGGCCTTGGCGGGCACGTGCCCGCCGCCATCTGCCGCCGACTGGTGCTGGCTCTCGCTGTGCTGCCAACAACCTGTCGCTGCAGACCACGCCCACCTCGGCCCAAGCCTCCGAAACCGAGGCCCAAGCCTCCGCTACGCCCACGAACCCCCAGGCCCAAGCCTCCAAAACCGAGGCCCAAGCCTCCACCACGCCCACGACCCCCCAGGCCCAAGCCACCCAGGTGCGCGCTCCGCCTGCCTGCTGCCCAGGTGGCAGCACAGGCTGTTGCCCTGCTCCACATGCGGCGGCGCCAGCTGCTGCCAACTGGTGCTGGCTATCACGCTGCCCCCATCCCCTCCACCTGCACATGCAGACCGCGGCCACCGCCACGGCCGCGCCCGCCATCCCCAAAGCCCCCCAGACCCCCCCGCCCCCGTCCGCCTCCCTCGCCACGCCCGCCCTCTCCCAAGCCGCCACGCCCGCCGCCGCGCCCGCCGCCACGCCCTCCGTGAGCGCGCTGCTGCGCTTGGCACGTGCCACCGCTGCCGCCCAGTGCCCAGCCAACCCCCAGCCAGCCTGACTTGTGACTTGTGACGCTGCTGCAACAGCGCGTGGTGTATAGCCGGCCGGTGCAGCCGTTGCAGCCGCCCTGTTGCAGCTGCCCCCAGCCCTCCCCGAGCCCATAAACCCGAGCCGCTCCCCTTCTGCCGCCCTGGGCCCGCCGCCTTGCCGAAGGTGTGCCTCCGACGGCGGCGCCTGCACCACGGACGGCCAGTGCTGCTCCGCGCTGTGCAGCACCTCCATATCGAAATGCGGGTGCTCCGACGACGGCGTGCCGTGCACGGCAAACAGGCAGTGTGAGCAGGCTGGGCGGGGGCAATTGCGAGGGCAGCCAGGAATGCGGCAGGGGCCCGAGGGGCAACGCATTGCAGCGGACGCGCTGGCGCCGCCGGCCGCGGGGCTGGACGGCAGCGCTGAGGCGCGGCTCCCCCTGCCTGCCCCAACCCCTGCCGCCTCCCGCTGCAGGCTGCGGCGGGCTGTGCAACGCGGCGACGCTCACCTGCGGCTGCTCCGACGGCGGCGGCGGCTGCGAGCGGAACAGCGACTGCTGCAGCGGCGCCTGCTCGCCGGCCAAGACGTGCGGCGTGGGGTGCGGCACCGGCGGCGCGGGATGCGTGGAGAACGCGGAATGTGAGCAGGGGCCGGCGCCTGCGCGCATGCCTCCACGCCCCCTCCCCATGCTGCGTCCTTTGCTGGCGCAGCGGCTGCTCGTGCAGCAGCATCCGCTATGTGCAGCTGCCGTATGCGGCGCAGAGGTGGAAGCGCGCAGGCGCGGGGCTTGACCGTGCCCACACCTCCGCCCCTGCCGCAGGCTGCGGCGGCTTCTGCAACTCCCAGGGCACCTGCGGCTGCCAGACCCCCGGCTACGGCTGCGAGTTTGATGACGACTGGTGCGCCCCCGGGCTGGCTCCCTCTTGCGTGTGTGGGCTTGCAGTCTGGATTCAGCAAGAACAAGCTTGCAGCACAGACTTTACCACTTGGCCCGATGCCTGGCTGGCCGCCTGGGTGGCAGCACAGAGTGCATGGGGCTCCGGCACAAGCAGCAGGGGGAGGGGTGCGGCACATGGTGGGAGGGGCAGCAGCTGAGGGAGTTTGGTGTGGTGGTGTGCTCTTCCTTCCCCGCCGCTGGCTTCAGATGCTGCGCCTGCCATGCCTGTCTGCCGCCGTCTTGTGACCCACCAGAGGCCCCCATGGTTTCCCCTGCCTGTTGCAGCTGCTCCGCAAATTGCGACCCGGGGTATGGCCTGTGCGACTGACGGCGGCGCGCGGCGGGTGCGGCGGCATCGCCCGACCCGGCCCCAGCCGGGTCCCAGGCCTGCAGGCCTGCCTGTGGTTGCTGGCTTGCCCTGGCGCAGCACTTCACAGCCAAGCTGCCTGGCAAGCAGGGCGGGCCTGGCCAGGAGTCGGTCGCAGGCGTGTTTGCCCGAGGGGCACTGTACTAATCGCTGCTTGTACCTGTAAACTAGCTACCCGATCTCAACTCTACAATCCAGTCAAGCGGCACAAGGGTTGAGGTCCAGGGATCGCCAAGGTGGCAGGCAGGGCAAGACATGGAGCATCCCTACCGAGCTGCCGAGTGTGGCCACCCAGTGGCAGCAGCCGGTGCCGGCATGAGCTCCCCCTTCAGAGCGTTACATGACATCGATCCAACAGATGGAGAGAAGGTCCCCGATCAACAAATGCAATCAATAAATAATAGTGGTACTGGCCTGGTGTTGTCATACTGAGGACGAAACCTGTGAGAAAATAATTGGAGTGGCTGCCCGCGGCCGCAGCTCCAGCCCTCGAGCAGGCTCGGCCTGGGGGGCAGTCTGGCGCGCGCGCGGTCCCTGGGGGCGCGACTGCTGGGCAAACTGCCCCGCTGTCGCCAGTAGCTATGCCAGCCTGCCCTCATCAACTAGCGCGCATCCAGCCCAGCCTCCGGTGCAGGCTCCGCGGCCTCGGCGCCGGCGCTTCGCCCCCTGCCAGCTGGTGCTTAGCTGGCAGGGCTTGGCTCATAAGCTGACCAAGATCAGAGGTTGGAGAAGTCGAAGAGCTCCGCAAAGTGTGCGGCCATGTCCTGCACGCCCTGCTGGCTCAGATCCGACAGCTGGCCCAGGTTCAGGCCATCCAGCCCGCTCATGAACTGCGGGCAGGGAGGGGAGGCGGCGGTGCCGGTGTGTGGCGGTGGAGAGGTGGTGGTGGTTGTGCGTGTGGCGGTGGGCGCACTATGCGGGGAGGAGTCAGAGGTTTGGTGGTGGGGACGATGGGTTGTTTAACACCAGGACAGGGCATCAATTTCCAACCACCCCAGCGAACCCCACCAAAACCCAGCAGGAAAGGAAAGAAAGAAAGAGCAAAGAAAGAGCGAGAGAGGCATGGGTGGAGCAAGCCCCAGCAAGGCCCCCTCACCTGCTGGAAGGCCTCGCCCCGCTGGTCGGCCTTGGCCGCCAGCCCGCCCACCAGCTCCTGCCTGCGGTCCGCGCCCGCCGCCAGCGCCCCCATCAGCCGGTCTGCGCCCGAGGCCAGCAGCGAGGCCAGGCGCTCGCCGTGCTCGCTGTACGCCTCGTGCGCCGCCTGCGCGCGGTCGGCCACCGCGCCGCCAAAGTGCGAGGCCAGCTGGGCGATGCGCTCGCCTGCGGCGCCAAAGGCGGACAGCAGGCCCTGCACCTTGTCGCCGCCGGAGGACAGCAGGTGCTGCAGCAGCGCGCCGTCGCCTGCGGGAGGGGCGGGCGCAGGGCGGCGGCAGGCAGGAGGCGAGCTCAGCGCAGCGGGCGGCTTTATGCTGCGGAAGGCGGGTGTGCCGAGCGGCCGGCTGCTCTGAGTCAGACGCCCAGCCCGCCGGAAGCCTCTCCCTTCCGTGCCGCAAGCTCCCTTGCACATAGACAAACCGCAAGCCCTCCCAGCCACCTCTTGTCGCCGGGCGCGGGCGCCCACCCAGACACCTCTGCCGCAGGCCTAGGGCTCACCGATGGCGGGCAGCTGCAGGGGCTGGCCGTCGACCATGATGGTGGGCAGGCGCAGGTGGTCGTGCAGCCAGGCGCCGAGGCGGTGCGTGTCATCGGCGTGGGCCTCCAGCCACGTCTGCAGCTCGCCCAGGCGGCTGTTCTCCTGCAGGGGGGCGAGGCAGGCATGGGGGACAGGGTGGGGTAGAGGGATGGGTGGGGTGGGGGCAAGGCAGGGCGGGGGCGGGGCAGGG